ATCCCCAAATAAAATACTACTCATGGGAAGCACGCAGCAGCTGACCTCTCCATTCGTGCGAAGAAGCTCTGAGGCTCCTCAGGCTCCGCTTCGCGCAGTGGCATGGGGTGGAGCTCCAACTCCCTCTCCACCAGCCTTGCTAGGTAGGGATCTTATAAGGATTATAAAGGGATTATATTGGGATACTGGAAAAGAAAATGGAAACTACTGTATTATAGTAGGTTATATATTGGGGTTATAGCCCCCCTTAAGTGGATAGAATATGGGGTATATGGGGATCTTATTATGATGTACCCAAAGCCATATTCTATCTACTTAAGGGGAACTGTATCCAGATGTGGCAAAAAGGGAGGGGGGTGGGGTCCCCAACTTGGGGATACCCTTCGAGGAGTTCCTTCTAAGAAGGATTCATAAGGATCGCAGGTTTTTCGGGTTTAGATTTGGGTGCCCCTATTGATGGAAGTTACCAAGTATTTTCGATATCTACATGTAGATCACACTAGACATTCGGGGTGTTGGGTTTAGAGGCTAAGGGTGTTGGCTATATGCTGTATAGGCTTAGGGTCTTGCTAGACTCATTTGGGAATGGTGAAAGGATGACATGGTGCGTTTAACGCGGAGACTACATAGGGTGTCCATTAACCATTCGGAATTTGGCACCTACAACACCCATGCTCCTTGCGCGGAAGGTACAGCGATCATTTCCGAGATTGACCAGTACTCATATGGGCCAGAATCTAAACTCCTAGCATCCCCCTTAATAGCCCCTATAGTAGTCCCCTATATATTCCCCTATATAACCCCCCCTTGAAGGAGTTTAGACTATAGTACATGTGGAGGTTCTGTGGGTCCAACCTTGCTTCAAGAGACTTGGCACGAAGTCCGCAGCTCCATATCAGAGCTTAAGCCTCATGGGAAGACCAAGGGAGTCTTGCAACTGCAACCTCCAGAATCTGGGCCCTATAGTCCCTGCTAGGCCGCAATACCCAAAGCCTAAACAAACCCTGAACCCTCAATCCCGACAAGGCAATATCCAGAAATACGGTGACCCCAATCCAGACCTTAAAATACTGCACTCCTTCGTACAGGGACCCCGCAACAGGAACTCATGGAAACCCCCAAGGCAAACCATGGCAAACCCGCAACCCTTTTTTGAACTAGACTGCCAAGACCCTGCACCAAACAGGTGAACCCTAAACCCCCAACCCTAAACCCTTAACCCTACACCCTTAACCCTATACCCTTAACCCTTAACCCTTAAGCCTAAAGCCGCAACCGCGCCCAGGGGCTGGCTCTGAAGGAGATCTAGGAGCTCCTCCTCGTGCTCCTGGAACTTTTTTTTGGAGGGGGTGTATTACTCTAGGACCCTATATCCCTGTATTATAGGACCCCATATAACCCTGAAGAACCCTAACTGACCCTACATAGCCCTATAGAAACCCCCATATATTCCTTCTGAAGGTCTGGCAAAGTTTACTAGTGAACCCCTTCTCGGCTCCTGGAAGTCCCAGCAGACCTGGAAGAACAAACGGGCTTAGGGCATAGGGCTTGAGGTTTAGGAATTACGGCTTAGGGTATAGGGCTTAAGGTCTAGGAATTAGAGCTTAGGGTTTAGGGCCCAAGGTTTCGGAATTAGGGTTTAGGCTTTAGGGTTTGTGCTTTAAGGCTGGGACTGTAGGAT